CAAGTATAGTGGGGATTGTGGGGCTGGCGTGGGATCGGGCAGTGTTTCGTTCTGCTGTGCATGGGGTCGCTATGAGTCAGAAACAACTCGACGGCGCTTAACAACAACAACAACAATAGGCCCAAGGACCATTATTTATGAGCCAAAAGTTAGGGCACGCTGGTAAACACAGCACATTCCCACAGACAATCCACTGTGCTGACCCAGATTCTTGACTGCCGCAGCTCCAACGCTCCCACTGACTCCTCCTCTAGGAGTTAAAGAATGCGACCCCAGGGACGTTATACACAGAAATAGTAAAAGCTGAAAATATAACTGAATTTGACTGTACTTTTAAAATGCAGTTCACTTCCAAATCTCCTGAGCAGCTGAGCAGGCTGTGGCATCAGTGATGCCTGCGCTCACTGGGATTAGAGGCCTCCTGGTCCTGGTCCTGGTCCCGGGAATACCGGGCCCTCTTGTGCCAATGGGATCTATCTCTGCTCCTACTTCTACTTCTCTGACCCCGCCCTTCAGAATGGTCATTGTGCCAGCTAGAATGTGTGTCTGAGCTTCGACCTACGTCCCAATCCCTGTTCTTTTCCTCTCTTTCCTCCTTCCTGCTCAAGGGCTTGTGCTCATGCTTGGGTTTCTCCTTCCTCAGCTCCTTCTCCAGGTCTGCCACTCCTTCACGCCACACAGTCCTGACCTCAGGGGAGCTGGCGTGGGGTTTGCGGCCCTCCCTGGCCTCTGCCTTCTGACCCCTCTCTGAGCTCTTGCTTCTGGGTTTGCTCAAGCCAGCCTCCTCCTTTTCCTTTATCATCTTGCTTCTAGGTGATGAAGAAGAGGATGGCGGCTCTGCCTTGATCTCCCGGTCAATCTTCTCCTTGGCTTTCTTTGTTTTCTTTTTTTCCTTTTTGTCTAGAGAGGGGGAAAAAGCAATCAATGAGAAGAGGAAACCAATAAAGAACTCCCTTTAAAAAAATCCTTTCTTCTCTGAGTATGTTATACCAAATATAGCGGTGTAGTTCAAAAATGTTCACGTGCTGGGAGAGGGAGAAGGTGTGAAGCAGCCACAGTTAATACTTCCAGAAACGTGCCACAGAGAAGGGCTGTCACCCTTGATATGGCATGTTGTAAGGCAGGAAACCTCTGACCTACCCTTGACACTCCGGCTCTCAATGTGACCACTTACCATCAACATGCAACTGCCCAAAATCAATTCCCTCCCATCTCTGCCTGTCACTTTGGTTGTACTGTCAGAAGCAAACTTCGAGTTTTAAGGAGCAGAGGGTGAACTAGATTGTGTTGCTGTGTGCCGTCGAGTCAGACCCGACTCATAGCGACCCCTCCTTGGGTTTCCAAGGTGGTATCACTACGAAAGTAGGTTGTCCAACCTTCCTTTCAAGGAGTGGCTGGTGGGTTTGAACTGCCAGCCTCCTAGTTAGCAGTCAAGTGCCTTAGGCACTAAAGATTATAGCCTTGGAGATCCTATGGGGCAGTTCTACTTTGTCCCGTAAGGGTTGCTATGAGTCAGGATTTGACTCAACAGCAGTGGGTGTGGTTTTTCGGATTAAGTCTGAAAAGAAGGTGAACTGAACATTTCTATTTCTCCAAGAATACAGATTAAATTATGTTGCTTCTTACATCTGCGAAAGTAAAAACCGTCTTGGACAGAGAAAATAAAAGTCGGCCCTGTTATGCATCAGGCTAGGCTCACAGAGCCTGAGCAAGGCAGCTGCAAAGTGAAAGGGAATTTTCTCTCCAGGACATGCTTGGGCTAGAAAGCATCTTGATGCTCTCCTTCATTGAGGGATTAAGTCACTGAGCAACTTGGTGCTCTAAAAGAATAGGCAACCAGCACATTCACTGTCTGAAACAGTATCGGAATGGAGGAACTTGGTCAACTCAGGTGCAGCACTTAAGAGAAAGGTATCTGCAGGGAAACTAAAGCACTGGAAATGGAACAAGAATATGCAATTAAAGAGAATGGTGACACACCGTGAAAAATGTTAACTAATGTTAGTGAACAATCTGTACAGAAACTGTACAATGGGAACCTGATATGCTGTATACATTTTCACTGAAAACACATTATTGGGAGAAGATTTTCACCTTCCCTTTGTCATTTCCAAGAAACAGGCCCTGGGTCCACTCTGCAGGCCAGACATGGTGTCAGCTCTTTGCCACAGTCTTGCTTTGCTTTGAGCCAATTACAACTTGCCTGCATGCAGACTTCACTTAATCCACCACCCTTCCCCAAATCCTAGAGTAGCTCTACCCTGTCCTTGGGGTAGTGAGACAATGCAGTTTCTCTGGTGTTTTCCTTGATGCAGTCAGTCCACCTGTGCAGTGTAGTAATTGAGTAATTGAGTAGATGGCTGTTAAAGTTATCTACCTGGTGTGTTTCTGTTGCAGCAGCAAGAAGCAATCTTCTGGGAAGTTCGCTCTCTCTCGGATGTGTAGAATTCTGATGGGACTGGTTGGTTTTGGCCATTTTGCCAGGCTCAAAAGGAGCCCACCTAGAGGCAGAAAAAGTCTGACTGCCAGCTGAGAGAGACATGCTGCTGAGAGAGACACATGAGAGACATGCACTGCTGAGAGAGAGATGTGCTACTGAGAGAGACAGCCAACTGAGAAACACATCCGGCTGAAAGAGTCTGAGTGCATTCCTGATTTTGAATTGTAGCCTGTTGCTCCCTAATAAAGCCCATAATCTCTGAGTTCTGTGTGGCCACTGCAGCGAATTATCGAACCCAG